AAGAGACGTGACTAAAATATCCTCATAATTTGAGAATAAGTTCTTACAAACAAGAAATAATTTTCAATTTTATATTTACTCATACTCTATTTACTAAATGTAGTATAAAATAAAATTAAAAATATTAAACACTCATTTACTGTAATTTTTTTTTTTTTTTTACAGTTTTTAAGGTATAATTTCGCTTTGTTTATTCTAAGATGAACATCTATATAAAGTAGAACTGATACAAAGCCCGATAGAACTTTATAATATTATAACTAACATAACTAATGTAAATTGTACTCGATATATATATATATATATATATATATATATATATATTAATACACGAAGGAAAAAAAATTAGCAACATTAATATTAACTTTTTATGCTTGTAGGTAATAATTGAAATGAAGTGCATTGAAAGATTACCAAGTATGAATCATCGATTAAATTTGCTTTAAATTCAAATCACGATTATCGAAAACATACACTGTATGCATAATTATATTCTCAATGTATTGATATATTAAATGTATTGATTCTTTTCGAATAAATGGATATGATTCATAAGGTAGTGTCAATGGTAGGTGTGTCGATAACTGAAAGAATGTTGAATAACGAAGAACCAATTCGATATTTATAAAGAATAAAAGCGAAATGTGAATTAAAAACTTGATAAATGAAATTAGACAATTATGATAAAGAAACTACTTGGTTATATAAAAAGGATAAAAGAAATATAAAGAAAGGGAGGAAGGAAGGAAGGAAGGAAGGAAGGAAGGAAGGAAGGAAGGATGGAAGGAAGGAAGGAAGGAAGAAAAGAAGGAAGGAACGAAGGAAGGAAAGATGGAAGGAGGAAAAGAAGGAGGGCGGGAGGAAGGAAGGATGGAAGTAAGGAGCCAACGGAAGGTGATAGGGTGGAACGAAATTAGAACGGAAGAAAGAAGAGAGGGAACGAGGAAAGGAAGCAATAAAGAAAAGCGTAAACGTAAATACGGGCAGAAAAGACTGATTCACAATCGAATGATCAGACTTGTCCAACAAGCGGACACAACTGTGTAACAAAAGAACGGACTTTCTAATTCATCCACGCGCCCGCATGTAAGAGGTCAGTCGTAAAGAATCTGGCCGCTCGCGTTGGCGTTGGCCGCGCTGCTATCTTGTGTCGATCCAACGAGCATTCACTCATACATGAAACATAGACGTAAATAACTACGTCCGCCCGTGCGGTGGGCGCGTAACGCATCGCGCATTCCTCCCGCGAGTAGAAAAGGTCGAGCGGAGCGCGCCAAGACTCGTATCTCGGCTCGTCGTCGAGCTATAGATGACGTTGTGTATGCGCTCGCGCCTCCACAAGAGAGCAAGAGAACAAGAGGGAAAGCGGGGGAGAGAGAGGTGG